TAACCTAAAGCAACAACAACTTTAATTGCCTCTACAGGTGTTGGAGGGCAACTGGACCAAATAGTAGGACATAAATATTTCATAATTCTAATTTACTATTAAACTGGTATGTACCACCACAGGAAAATACTGACAAGTTCCTGAACTTGTAATAATAAATCTCATCTCCTTATACCAGACCCAAGAAATAACAGTTTTGTTTCAAAACACAAGTCATAGCCTGCTTGTGATACACTCTGCCAAATTCCTCCGCAGAAACCCATGATATATTACTTGTACTTATATAAAGTATAATGTCTGCTTTGAGGCATATTAAATAGGTATGACTGAGGCAACAATGTGTTATTATTTCTAGTAAACTGAGAAGTCAGGTAGCCTCTTTCACCCTAACAAACAAAGCCTGAGAAACCCCTCAGCAAATCTGTCACCAAATAAGTAGATTAGTCCAAGAATCTCAAATCTCCTGCTAACCTTGTTGACCATTTACTGGCTGAAGTTATTAAATTCTTCATGCTGCATAGGTGGGTGAGATCGGCAAATTAAAGGGATTATCATGCCAGTTTTCTAACCGTAGAGTATGATCTGCTCACTTTCCAGTACCTCTGACTCATACCTAACAGATACGGAATGAGGCAGCAAGAACTGCGAATGCACCTCCGATCACAGCAAAAGCAGAATGTTAAAACATCATAGAGGGATTCCCTGTCTTACTGTTGTCTATGGTTCTGGCCTATATGTAGCTCAGCTCTTACAAGTAACTAGCAACAGAAGATTTCATATTAATAAATAATTGACATTATCAGCAATTATGACCCTAAATTGGAAGTAGCTAAAATTGAAAATCTATCCAGTAACAGAAGGTAGCATAGTTTTATGGTTATTCCCAGATAGAAAGGAGCTTTTGAGCTCATATGTTAAACCATGGTTGCTATTCTACTGACCAGTAAACATAAAATTTTCTTACAAAGCGATACAGAAAGGAGAGGAAATTGTGCAGAAATGAAATGAAATCAAGAACTTAGATCTCTACTGCAGATCTAGCCCCTGCTTAAAGGAACTCCACTACACCCATGCTTAGGCACAGTCAGTAACACTTCTACAGAGACTCATCCTATCTCTCAACATCCAACAGGCCTTGTTCCTCTTCTCTCAACTATTGCTCCATCTTCTGTTTCATTTTCTTTTCTTAATAACTTAAACCTTCACCTTCCTTCTTTGTCTTCTGTTTCCCTCAGTATTGAACTGGACATGCCCAGTTCTTTCCTTCCTTAAAATCTATTTGTGATGCTAGTCTTGACCTGGATCTCTAATGTGTATATACCATTTCTCTTTCAACCTTTATTCGCACCACTGGTCAACCTAGAGTAAACTAGGTGCTGACAAAGCAAGAAGCAAAAACAAGGTCTGAAAGCTCATTTGAACAGGCCGATGTGACTCAGTTTCCTTTTGTACTCAAAAGAGAAACTAATCTAAAACTTAAGACCTAGATTACAGAGTTGAGTGATTTGGTTTTTTTAACAGAAGAATGTGAAGATGGAAGGTTAACACACTGAACAGCTTCAACATACAACCTTCAAGGAATATTTTGAGGACAAAGTAGGTCCAAAACATCAAATGAGGTACAAAACATAAAATGAGAAGTTCAGTTGCTAACCCCTAGCAGTTTTGGTGCCAGCCAAAGGCACTCTCCCCAAGGTGACAAGAGAATTATCTATGCAACACCTTCACGGGGTTTTTGGCATCACTTTACACCCAAGGAACTCGGACGAGACTCAGCAAAGTAATAGTGTGTGCAAAGCTCTTGATCTCATAGCCTGCTTCAGCTCTGTCTGGAGTGCTGGTTGCCATTTCAGGAATGCAATTTCTTCATGTCTCTTCTGCATTATTACTTGGTAGTTTAAGCTTTGTGGATTGCTTTGGGTCCTGCAGACAGAAGACAAGGCTGCATGTATTTCCCTGTTTTACTTAGCGGCTGTGGATGTAGTTTCACGATCACTCTAACCCATAAAAGCCACTGGTGCCTGACACTCAGGCTGTTCTCTACCTTCCTGTACGTTTCTGCAGAACCAGCTGATCATTTTGCCACCTAAACGCCACTGCTACCATGTCAGGCAGCAGCCCGTCCTTATGTAGGATTAAGTGATGCTGGAACTACACCTGGTGAGTACCATTATTAATGCAGCTGTTTTCCTTCCATGCTCTGTTTGCTGGAGCAATTGCACCTTTCTCTTACCCCAAGCCCACAAGTACATGCAATCTCCAAAATGGGCATCCCTCCTGTTCTGAATCCTGGTCTAGATGAGATGGTAGCTGCTCCCTCAAAGCTTTCAGAGTTTGTCCTGAGAATGTCTCTCAAACTGCTGTCTCCACGTTCTTGCTCATCCTCACAACCCTTTCTGTTTCTCTCCTTGACTTTTATTGCCCTTGGTTTATTGAGTCTTTGTATTCATTTACTTCTAGTAGTTCTCTTTCATGTCTTGTTCTAATGACTGTACTTAATGGGAGAGAAGCCTCTCAGAGGGAATCATCCTCCCATGCACAGAAGAAATGCTAGTTCAGCCCTGATGGAATATTATTTTTATGTTATTCCTCACAAAACCTTGTGTCTTGTCCTTTTGTGTTTGAGTACTGGTGACTCTGACTGCAGTCTGGAACTCTAATTGAAAAATAATCTCTGCCAACAGTTTTCTTTTTAATTTCTAGTCAAGAAACTGCTTTTCAATGTCTCTTTTAAGAGTTCTGCCTTTCTGAGCTTTCAGCTTTTTAGTGAGCTACCTTATACTAATGGTATGGTTTGGGGTCAGCATTCATGCCTGTAGGTCAGGCAAAATCTGCAAGCAACACTGGCCTCTGCATGTCTTTTTTTAACAGCAGGAACTCTTACGTCACTTATCATATACATCTGAAGCTTATTTTACTTATAATATTTAAACAGTGGATAATTCCTCTGAATTCTTGAAGATCTAATAGCATGTTAGAGTGAAATCTTTTGTTAGCTCTGCTAAACACTGTTATTCTGACACATTTACCTTAATTATTAAATACAAAACGAGTTTAGGGGAAAAGCACGTTTATAATGAAAAATCCTCCGCTCAGAAGCATATTTTTTCACTTGATCAGTGGCATTTCTTACGTGGTTAGTAGCAAAACCCTATAGCTTGCAGTAGCTGTACAGCTCAGGGAATCGCTGCCCATCTGAGCTTTAAGACTGACCAATTTGTGGGCAGAAGTCCTGATGGGTGGGTCTGTCCTACGTGTTCGAGCACAACGATGATCTTTGACAACTCAGCAGCTTTTTGGTTGTTCTCTCTGCATCAACAGAACAGTACTAGATGTTGAACATATGTGATTGCTATCGCGGTGAAACAAGAAAAAAGGCTTGTGCTTTCCTGTATGTGGGCTGAGAAAACCCTCAACCGTTCTCGGTCATACAATAACACCAAAGGCTCTGGGGTTTTTTTCACTCTGGTTATATATGCCATATGCTATGGATGCATGAAATGGTGAAGAAGAAGAGGAAAGTAACAAAATAAGGGATTATAAGGTAAAATGTAAGTATTTTATTGCTATAAATAATGAAAAAAAATTATTTCTGAGTAATATAAAATGTTGCCATCTAGGCTGTAATTATGCTGTTTACAACTACAAAAAGATTATACTTTCTTACAGCCAGTTTGAAATATTAACAAAGTACATTGGAAAATGAATTTGTGTCAAGAGCAGAAAGTCACCATCTTAAAGCTTGTAAAAATTTTCTTATAGCAAAACTTCTGGGAAAGCAAGTTTCTCATGCCAGTCTCAGGAATATTAGACAGGTATATAATTTTAACCATTTAAATGCTTCTAAGATCATGCATTTTAAAAGGGACTGAACAGAAACGTTTTTATCAGTCTTGGACATAACACTGCAATGACCTTTTAAAGGTGCTTTGCCTGATGCTTCATAAATAAGAAGTTTCTCTGAAAAAGTTTTGCAGGTGCACTCTGTCATTTTGCAGATGAGTGCGACAGAGTTAAGAACTGCCAACTGAAACGAGTTTACTGACTTCAGACTTCAAAGGAATCAGAGGGAGAAGACGCTGCTTTTTTAAGAGACCATTTTTCAACTCTTACTTTGTTTTTTTGAAAGACTTCGTAATGTAAGGACAGATTTCATGAGCAGAGTTTGCATGTACCCTGTGTGCTATCCCCGTATACCTGTACAGAAATCTGTATGGAAGCCCAAAACCAACTGAACAGTCCATATTTTACCTTAAATCTAAATAAGAATGCAGTTGTATGTGGCTATGTTCTAGAAGTGCCAATAGGATTATATCTTTCAGAAGATTGTTCCTAAATTAATTTTTCGTTTTTCTTTACTTTTCATAGTAGAGTAGCTCAGGTGAAATTGTGTAATAAAAAGATTTGGAATTGAATCAAGAAGAAACTGAATTCTCATCTGCAGATCTTTATTTTCTCTATGCTCTATGAATCTAGAAACTGAAACTGTTGCTGCGTTACAGGTGTCCTGCACCCATCCAGCAAAATGCTAGAAAGATGGCTCAGGTGTCTTCATAAAGTATCCACAAATTATAGGTATAACCTCTTCACATTTCTGTATTTTTCCCACCTTCCATTTTAGCTTTGTAACATGAGTGCAGATTAAACTTGTATAATTTACAGTGTCTTGAATATTTCAAATGGCTGAATCTCGAGGCAAATAATTGAAAAAAAAAAATCCTATAATGCACTTCAGTAAATTAAAAACTTATTAATATTTATATGAAATGTGGTTTTAACACTGAGAGGCATGGGTTATTGTTGTCATATACAGTACAACTACAGTTATAAGGTCAAACTACATGGGATAAAACCATTTCAAGCACAATTCATTAAAATGTCCCTTCATGAATCTGTGACATTCCATAGTTAACAAAAAAGGAAGCAACAAGGCATATGTTTCTATTTTAAAAATTCCCATTTTTCACTTTCAGTATCCTTTGAAAGAGGAGCTTAGGAGGATGCCTAACAGCAGCATAACCCAGCAGAGCCATTCCTCCAACGAGACACTGCCAGACACCTTAGAGAGGCTCCACACAGTTCTCATAGCCCTGTACATCATCAACCTGGCTGGTGGCACCCTTGGGGTGATCATGATGTCCCATCAGCTGTTTCAAAGGAGATCACAATCTGTGATGACCATTATCATCATCAGCCTCCTGGTGCTGCACACCTTTATGCTACTGAGCATCCCCTTCCGCCTCAGCTATTACATTTTACGGGAATGGAAATTTGGGAGGGTGGCCTGCAAGCTAGCAAGTGCCATCATCTACCTCCACATGTACACCACCTTTGCATTTTACATGGCTATCGTCATAATACGCCTCTTCCGACTGGAGTTTAGGAAGTGCTACACTACAACCTTGGTGGCTGCTGTCTGGCTGATGGGAGCACTGGTGATCACACCCATTCTTCTCTCGTACTATGGTACCTCTAAGACGTATCACTCCTCTGAATGCTTTCAGTTCCAAAAGGAGATACAAGAGGCACCCATGGTGATCATGAACTACTGCATGGTTGGGATTTTGGTGGTGGTTTGTGTTGTACTCACCATAATCCAGTTGTCTGTGATCTATAGACTGGCTGTGAAATACTGGCCTGACATCAACTCCCATGTGGAATTCAGGGCTCAGGCAAAGAGTTTCTTCTTCATCTTGGTAACATTAGTGTGCTTTATGCCTCATCACGTATTCAGAGCGTATTACATCCAAAACTGCCACCTGGATAAAGACCGTAAACTACTCCCATACAACGAAATTTTTTTAGCTTTAACAACAATGTGCTGCTTGGATATGTTGTGCTTCATAGCAGGAATAGCCCACTGAACTGTGAACTACCAGGAAATCCAGCTGCAGTGCGTCAATACAGGCTTTTGGCAGAAATAACACTGAATGAGGACTTTGCTGAGCTAGGGAGACTGCTGAGGTTTTGTCATGGCTGTATAGGTCTGTAGCATTGTTTGGCTTTTGCAGACTAGTAAGATCCATCTTTCAGAAGCTACTGGGTTTTTATCTTCTCTTTTGAAGGCAGACATATAAATCTTACTCTAGTCTTTGACTAGTCATGCCCTGAAAATTAATTAAGATTTTCCTCAGGTGTCCCTTTGTAACAATTACACCATTCTTTTCTATTTTTCCTCAAAGTGGCCCACTGTGGTCAACAAGCTGCCCACTGTGAAGGTCTAACAACTTCTTCTGGCAGTTGTGATACTGAAGGGAAGGGGGGGAAGAAAGAAATTCCTTTACAGAATTTTTGTAGTAGTGATTTTAGATAGCAAGGACAAACTCTTCAAACAAAATGTATTCAAAGCATGAAGCAGGGTATGAATGAAATATTTTCGTAGTATATTTCAGCAGAATCCTTCTTTTCTTCACTTTTATATAGAGTATATTAAATGAAATGATATGGAAACACTTACTGTTCTCACAACTTCATTTTTACTTGCTTCATTTCAAAACCACTAGCAGCTCACTGAGTTGTGATAATTACACACTTAGAGTGAGTGAGAGCAGAATAAGCCACAGGTTTCAAAACTTCTGCCTTATGTCACTCTCCGATCAAGACTGGATCTGTGGCTGTTATCCCTTAGGTCCATTATAGACAAAGAAATACAAGTTACTGTGGTCCCATAACTGGATCTGGAATTCAAATTGAGGGGTCTGGTCCTTTAATGAAGGACCAGCCACTCCCTAGGAGAGGGAAATATTTTATCAGCCTTCAAAAAACTTTTGATGTCTGGTCATTTTCAGTTGCCTGTTGATTTATTATCAGATGCCATATTTTTTCCATTTGCACATGTTACAAAGCAAAACTAGAATAAACTAACTAAATTGTGTTTAATCAATTCAACATATGTTCATGTATGTGTATACAAACTTGTGCTGTAGTATACATTTTCTCCATTAGACAGATTATATTCCTTGGGAACCACATCCTTTCTAAGACTCTGTTTTATCTTCATTATGTAAAAAGTTGGTTGTTTTTGGTTTTGTTTTTTTTTTTTTTTAATTATTATTGCATTTTGCCTCTTCTGCTCAGCACCGAAGGTCTCTAACCCTTCTGTCAAAGGCCCCACTGTCATTTGCTCCATCCCAACAGCTTGAGGCCAGATTTCTCCCACCCCAGACTCCCAGGAGTCACACAAGGGTATGTTTTCTCTTTCATAGCCTCATAAATTGACATAATTTTTAGTCTGGCAATCTTCTCTACAAGAGTGCTATGATCCCTGGATTCAAACACATCAAAACTTGATGAGAGAGAGTTAAAAAGTTACACATATGTGGTAATGTTAGTGATGCCTCAGACTGATGGCGTTTCTTTGAATGAAAGAGCTTACACCTACTTTGTCATTCCTGAATAAATGTTTTTACCTTTAAATTTCTGTAAAAAACCCCCAAACTTTGTTGAATACTCCTGATGGTTCCAGGGTCCTTTCTGCCTCTTTTAATAAATGGGAGGTGTCCAGGGGACCAGCAGCAAGTCCCGAAATCTTCTGAAAATCTTACCCTTAACAGCTTCCTCTAGTGTCACAAGGTCCACTCCCGTTCATACAATACATTCTACTCAGCCTGTGATTTTCAAAGATGGCAACTAGAGGTACAATACAGTACAACAGAGAAGAAATGCAAAGGGACAGGTTCTAAAATGGTTGAATAACTCCCAAACCAGCAGCTTTTCAAATCCTTCTCCAGGCAGGATGCAGCATATGTAGCTAATAAGAGAGCCAGGGCCCCTCAAGGTGAAAAAGCTTAAATAAAGCTCTGGTGCTTGAGGAGAGTTTTGAGGAAAACAAGAGGCAGGACCTGCAGAGAAGCCATTTGCACCTCTGCTACCAGAAAAAGAGTTGGGTTAAATTGGATCTACCAACATCTTTAGGGAAAGTGGCAAAGCTGTAGGTGGGGCAACAAGTACATTGTTTTACTCTTCTGATTACTGGACTCCTGTGGTTAAATAATAATAATTTAAAAAAATCTGTTACTTGAAGAAGTGTCCTATGTCACTGCCTATTCTCACTGATCAGTGTTGCCAAGATGACTTGCCTGGTAAAAATCAGAGTCACCTGGTGTTCTTGTGTGTCTGCTGATCATCTACCAGCACAGCATAATAGTGTGCAAGTTTGGGAGAAGAAAAGGGAACTACATGCATGTCCTCAGCTATGGTAACAAACATGCCTTGGTGGCCTTGCCCTTGGCTTTTGCCCAACATTTTGCACCTGTACCTGGCTGTGTGTCTTGCTGAAATAACCCTAAACCCACTGACATGATTTCCTGGCATGATACTGAAGCTGTGTTGCCCTTCACAGTTGACTGGTAACCACTGACTGTTGGCTGTCACGACCTGCTCTGCTTGCCTTGCTTGGGCACCATGGGATTGCACACTGCACTTGGTCTGGCTGGGATGGAGTGAACTTCCCTCATAGTAGCCCATAAAGTGCTGTGTTCTGGATTTGTGGCTAAAACAGGACTTGTAACACACAGCATTTTGACTACTTGCACAGCATCAAGCCTTTCTCTTTCCCACTCTGTCCCACAGAGAGTGGGCAAGATATTGGAAGGCAACACATGCAGGACAACTCCCTTGAACTGGCCAAAGGGATATTCCATACTATATGATGTTGTGCTCAGCAATGCAAACTGTGGTAGAAAGGAGGAGATTGACTTCTTTAGTGGCAGTTACTCAGAGATTGGCTGGGCACTGATCTACTTGTGGGAGATAAATGATGTTCTGCTTGTTTTTTGCTTTTTTCCCCTCTTTCCTTCACCTATTAACTCTCTGACTTGATGAATTAATTTTGCTTTTGTTCTTCCAATTCTCTGCCCTGTCCTGCTGGGGGTGGAGGGACAGAGAGCAGTTGTGTGGTGCTCAGCTGCTATCCAAGATTAGCCCACCACACTCCCCTTGTTGATGGGACCCCATTGCCAGAACATTAGATGTAGCTGAAATTTGTGTCTGTGGTGCTTCTTCCTTGCAGCCACAGACAAATAACCTTTATTATTAACCATTGCAATGAGCAAAAGTACGGAAAGTGAAGTGCAGCTTACACTTCAGCTTCTTCTCACATTTATTAAAAACTACAATAGTTTTTACATCAAGGCTTCAGGTAGAACTTAATTCTAGTGCTTGCTGTACCATCCAGATCATACCTCATACCCATTCCTTCTTCTACCCAACAGTAACTTTCTTTAACCCTACCCATGAACCACACACCTCTCTGCCTCTTGGCCTTCACCACTGATTTATCTTTCCTGCATTTTAATCTAAGCTCCTTTTTCTTTTTTTTTTTTTTTATACTTTACCGTTATCTCTGTACTTTCTCTCACTGACTAGGGCTCAGATATGTGAGGTCAAACCACTCACTGGGCTCAGTATGGTCCTCTTAATTCAGAGGATAATGGATTGAGCATTGATTGCAGCGTTGTTACATCTAAGACTGACATTAAAGCGATAGAGATAAGCTGTATTCAATACTCAGTCTCCCACTGAGATCTAGAAGCTCTCTAAAAACTGGTTAAAAGAGAAAGTTATCACTCTCCAGGAGGATAATCTGAGAAGTAAATTCTGAAAGGGCAATAATATTGAGCTCAGATTATAGGGTACTACTCTTCCTATGAATTATGTAATGATACATCTCCTGGAAAACAGTTAAAAATGGTTGGTTTGAATGCCATTTGCATGATCCAAGTAATTCTGGAGATAATTATATGCATTAGTAATTGCTTTCATGATAACTGAATATGTAAAATTGTAAACCATTTAGTCATCCCATTCATTTTTAATGCCATCAAATGAACACTGGGAAAATCCCCAGATATTCTGAAGGAAAGAATATCAAACTGCTAAATGTATCTTCTGCTGTTGTTCTCTGCATGAAGTTCTGCATAAAAAGAGCAGGCAAACAAAACAAAACCAAAATCCCATTTGTCCACCTGACTTCCTAAATTAGTTTGATAACAGAAAGCTATAGGCAGACCAAGAGGATTCTTACCATTAAGAACTATCACAACTAAGGTGCTGGCCTGTTCCTACCTAACCCAGGCACATCTTTTTAAACAGTGCTGAGGGTGCTGTGAGCCTACTCACAGCCAAACTGCACAAGGGACATATCTCTTTAAAGTCATATCTGCTAGTATCCAGAAGAGAAATGATGAAATGGAAAAAAGTTTCCATTTTCTTCTGATGCATCTGTTCCTTCTGCCTACTTATAGAGAAAGGTCATATTGGTGATGCTGTCAGATGGCCATGCCCCTCGCTGTAAGCAAGCAGAAGGAACAGATGCATTAAGAAACAAAGGCACACTCCCCTTTTTATTTTTTTCTTCTCCTCTCAGGCACTGGCTTTCTGAGCACTAACAGATTTTGGTGGGGGGAAAAAAAGAAAGGATGATCAAGTAATGCTATTTGCCTCAGATGGTTCAAGCCGCCCAACCCATACATAGCAGGAATCTCATTACAATCTACAATCCCTGTTCTCCTGTCTGCAATAGCTGAAGATCATTTCCTTTGCAGTTACAGAAGTGTGAACTAAAGAAAGTGATCTGTAAGACATGATGGGGAGAATGGCGTGGGGATGACACACTTGCAGAGTGTGTGTGGGATACAGACAGACCAGTTTCATCTCCATGAATAATGAAACTGTTCACTTCATATACACTGCCCAAAATTTAGGGTTACAGCTGTGATATGTCTTGTATTTTACTGTTTGAGCCTGAATCCCTTGACCTGGCTATTCCAATACCCTGATTTTCAGGGTGGCTCTTTGTTATGAAGAGGTCAGTCCCCAAGCCTAGGATTCATGTGCCTCAGGCAATTTTCACTACTGTCTTATT